CTCCTTGGGGTGTTCAGTGTTTAATAGTGGGTGTCTAATAAAAGGTGACTAATAGTGCCGGGATTGCATCATCTGATCGCATATCATCCCGCGCGAGGCCCGGTTATCGAGTCTTAGCATTGCTCAAACCATTAGACTGTGCATTTACAAGTAATTACAAAGCAACACGTCAAGAGGTTAGCCGTGGTCGTATCGGCTCGCATATACGAGCATGTGATTGGCTCTGTGCCGAGAGTAACATAATTTACAAGTAAGTAATTTATATCTAAAAGCCACACACACACACACACGCGCGCGCGCGCGCGCGCGGGGGGTGCGGGGGGCCCTCGGCCCCCCTTCCCCGCACCCACCCCGCCGATAGGCAGCGTGGATCACCTTGTAACGTTTGTCCAATAATGCAGTGACGAAAAATGCGGTGTCCAATAATGCGGTGTTTAATAATGCGGTGTCCAATAATTCGTGTCCAAATGGGATACGCCCATTAAGAGTCCCTTATACTTGAACTATCTGTCATATTGCTAGACATACTAGAATGTGTATTTGTACATAATTTTTTTAATTTTTTTCTTCTAAATTTCTGTTCCTAATATTTTCTTTATTGTGTGCAGGATCTAATTAATTAACAATGCATAGTTATGTAAAAATTATTATTCTTGTAGGATTACGCGATAATTTTTATTATTAAATTACACAAAAAACTTTTACAGAATGTCTTATGCAGTTATCAGAAATACTTGGTTAACTCCTCGAAAAAAAGAAGTTTTTTGGCCACCTACGAAAGATAAAAAAACATTTAATAAAATTTTGGCAAATACAGTATATGCAGATATTGAAAAATGGAAACTGTATTCAGTGCAAAGATGTTTATTTGAAACTGGTGAGCATAAAAATTGAAATTTTAGTTATTTTAATTATGTATCAATAAGAAAATCGTAATTAATTGACAGTATGCAAAACGATTATTATTTATCAACTTATATAATCATATAATATATTTTTGATTATACAAGTCGATAAAATAATTGTTTTGCATTCTGTCGATTAATTATTGTTTACTACGATATATTTGCTAATTCTAGACTTTCAATTTTTTAGATATAGTATAAAATGCTATAGATATTTAATTGTATGGAATTATTTTAGATGATTTACAAAAAGCTCAACAAAAATGCAAATTGTCAGAAGACACATCTGATTTACAAACAGATAATCAAGAAGTCGAATCTAGAGCTGTTACTTTTCATAACTTCGAAGCTTCGAAGATTTCGAAGTAATTCGAAGCTTCGAAGTTGACTTCGAAGTTTCGAAATCTTCGAAG